ATATAGAAGTAAGTGCTCTATTAACTTAAATTACATTCGGTCGGCGGTTGGACTATACGTACTAGCTGTCACGAATGTAGGAATTCTAAGAGCTGTGTTCAAGATATAAATGTGTACCTAATAACAAATATTTATCACTCTAAATTACATTCGGTTGGCGCCTGGCGGAGAAACTATACGTACTCATATTGCTAATGCAAGGATTTTAAGAGCATATGGTGATAGTCACAGGTAGAAATTATATACGAAATCCTACAGATCACATAAAATAATATACATATATTGTCATCGTGATATCGACTGTCGAACACGACCCCGAAGAACTACAAACCACTTAAAAGAAAACCAGCTACAGTGAGGTAAGTGTTTAAATGTTTATATAATAAAAGTAGGTAATTAAAATATCATTAGACAGTTAGGTACAACACAGTAGTAGGGCGATCATATGCTGAAATCTCCAATATTTATTATAACTCACATATCTCTCCCATATAACCATTACCTTCCCCTACCGCCCTTTTTCCCTTTTACAACTAATTTGTTCCCCGCGTATTTTCTCCTTACTACAATAATAATAATATTATATTATTAGGTATTCAAATGTAAAATATTAAAATTTTTTAAAATTTTTTTTTTTATTACTGTTAAGACTTCAACTACTAGGTACTGTAGATTTGTTACACGTGTGTGTTAGTTTTGGCAGAATTTTTGATTTGGGCACCAGTACGTATCTGCCATACCCGGGTGGGGGATGGCGGCACTTATTCTCCGGACACCGTGACTTGCCCGAAGAAAAATGCTGCCTCCCGACCAAAGCCTGGTCTTGCTCGGCCACTCCGCCCCATATTAAACTATTATAGTAGAATATAATTAATATAATATAGTAATTTAATAAAAATAATAGTAATTAATGTATAATAAATAGTTTTTAACTATTCTAAGCTGTACAATTTACAATTCCTTGCTGCCGTTCAACGCGACCTTCATTGGAAATAAAATATTCTTTGAATAAATTTCGGACATTTAAAGCTTCTCTACTTGAATTCGATGAGGTACCAATTCGTATTGGTATAAGCACGTTAGTTTCATTGGCTTGTTCTTCAACAGTCGTTAGATTGGTGTGGGTAGTTGATTGACGTGTGTAATTTATTGTGGAGAACAACAGTAGCTAAAATTACTTTATCTGCGAGTTCAATGCGGCATTCTAATGGGCTATGATATACTCTCCGAGTGTTTTGCAAGGATACCAAAAGTATTTCTGCTTCTTGAGAGGCTGTAGTTGAAAATACGTTCATCTTCGCTAAGTCGCAGGGTATTTCTGGGATAATGTCTCATGAGATATTTTTTAAGAGGAAATGCCTTGTTAGCAACTATTACGTAGGGTAAACTCCTTCCTCCTTAATCTTCATCTGGAGGTATACCCATATTTAAGATTGTTAAACGCTCTAAAATAGTGTTATTACTATACACACTTGCATCACTAACTCATACTTTAACATGAAATCATAATTTTTATTTTACCTACTATCTAAAATATTTTATATTTAAATATTTTCTCAATTGGAAAAATCAGTCGCTTAAATTTTTCATACTTCAATGATAATTTGAATTTTAAAACTAAATAAATTATTATAATAATATTTATAAATTTACTCAAAAAAATACAAAAAAAAATTTCAGATTAAACTTTTTTTTCTAATAGGTTTTCTCAATTTCGTTGTATAAAAGTATAGAACCAACATTACAATTCCTAATTATATCCAAAATATATACATAATTATGTTAACAAATCTAATTAAATACAAATATTATATTCATTAGTAGGTAAATAATGTTATAACTTATAAGTGTAATTATTGAGTAAATTTTTTTTAATTAAATAAGAAGCTGATTATATTATTTATTGGGTGTATTTTTTAATTATTTATGTCATACTGATCTCTCAATTTTTTTTTGGTTTTTGACACGCCGATACTAGGGAACTAGTTTGTCATCCCTGTTCTAGACCAACTACGCAAATATGAATAGGTACCTATATATTTTGTTAAATTGTAGAACATAATATTATAATGAAACAACCCCAACTATGTACGCGTTGATCACAATATAATGCAATACAAATTACAATAGTATATAATTATATAAAATAAATACCAAACTTACTTGTCTCGAAATCATTGCGTATTATTATAGTTGTCTGCTTTACACTTTACAGTTTATGAAAATAAAATAAAATTAACTTTGCGTTGTACCAAATACTATAGATAACACAATACAGACATGGATACCATAATACAGACATAGATTTAAAGAACCTACAGTAGAATCCGTGTAAGACAATACCCCACCTAATACGCTCATTTTTAAGAGTTCAGTGTTTCTGACAACGTTCAACATAACCCGTATAAAACGATTTCACTCTTAAGACGCTATTTTTAAATGGTCCCTATTAGAATGTAATACTTCTAAGAGGGCACTACACGGACATTTGTCTTACAAGTGAGTAGCAAATTTTATGCTCAGCAGATCCCGTGATAGCTCAGTTAGTTTAATAATTAGAATGAATTGACTTCTTATTCAATTTTAAAGTAAAATTATTATCTAGGGCGTCTCATTAGTTTTTTATTATATTTTAGTTTTAAAGTGAATTATGAGTATTTCAAAATTGCAAATTGCTTGTATATCTTAAGATACTCATTATGTTATTACGTTATTTACTGCTATTAGGTTTCGACAATAAATTAGACAATTTCGGTAGTGGTTGGTATAATCTACTTTTTATACATGTTTTAATCAGAAATAGATAATTGACATAATATTATATCGAACGCCTTTAAATGTTATAAGTCAGCAACTCATATGTTTTAGGGGGGACAAACTTGTGACTCGGTTTTTAATCTGAACTGTAAAAAAATATATTCTAGTATTTCAAGACACCGTTTTTAGTACACAACTCAATTGTGGTGGACCAAAATTGGTCAAATTCCGTACATGACACTAATTAAACAATAACGACACCAAAAAAACCTCTTTGACACTACTGGTCCAGCAGTGGGTCAGGACACAGTAAAAACACAAATTTCCAATAAATTATTTCTTCCCGGGTTATAATAATTTTAAGGTCTTAACATTTTTTTATACTTAGCACGACTGTGCTGGGATTGTTGGATAATATAAGTTATAAAATGTACATAATTAACATGTTTAAACTACATATTGTGTAAGTAGGTATATCATCAGAATATGACTATATTCAGTAAACATTGTTCATAGATATTTATTATTTGATACTAAATGTTTAAGTGGTCAAAACGCAATTATATATTAGAAATAGACAAATATGCAAAATGAATGCATTTCCTTGAAATATTTTATTTTAAGTTTTTTTTTAACTAGGTACCTATCCGAGCTATATTTAGTATATATATCTATGTTTTTTGAAATATAGCCCAAATTTTAACTGTAGTAAGTCATAATATATAATTATGTGTCCTTATACTGATCTTGTTTTAAAATTGTGTAACTAACGTATTAAAATTAAAAATAATATTTATTGTTATTTAGTCCTTTGCAAAGGTTTATAAAGATATTTATTTCGTTTTTATTACAAAAAATGTCTGAATAACAATTAAATAAAAATGATTTATAAAAAAGACTAACTAAGATTATTTATAAAAATAATTTATAATAATGATTAATAAATACAAAGGAATACAAAAAAAATAATTTCTTTATGTGTTTACCTATGTGTTTGCCAATGATATAATTAATTTCATTTAAGTAATTGATGATATTACTGTGAATAAAGTAATTTATATATTTACCTATTTACGTGGAACCTTGTTTTCAATTTTCAATCCTTAGCTAAAAAGTTGAATATTTTATACATTTTTAGGTACAAAATAAATATTGAATTTTAAATTTGATAAATTTTGTCAAACATCGAATTTTAAATGCTTATAAACAAAAATTGAACATATGTATTTTTAATAGTTTTCAACTGCTATTGTAACAATACATATATCAAGAGCCTTGCATTAAATTTTCACTCTTTTTTAACCAACAAGTAAAATTTTATTGATATTTATAGAATAAAAAATTTAAAAATTTAAAACTGATCATGTCCGTAAACAGCTCAAAAAGAGTCAAAATATGTTCAAAATTTGATGGTGTATAGAAAATGAAAATGAAAATATAAACATTCAGTTAAATTTTCAAGTATCTACAGATATTAATTTTCAAATAAAAATAAAATAACAAAGCCAATATATGAGAAGTCGATTGAATATCCACTATTGTAAATATATGAAGTTCCAATGCTAATAAAAATTTGCTTTGTTTGTTGACATTTTTTTTTTTTTTATGGCACGAGGTCTGCGATCTACCGGAGGTAGATTGCCTACCTGATAATATACTGCTGGGAATCAGAATTTTTATTCCTGGCAACGGAAAAGTTAAGATAAATTTTGAACACTATACACCGAATATTAAATAACGAATTGAACAAAGTTTGAGTCGTAGGTATAGAGTTGGTACATTTAACGGGCAACGAGGTGCACGGATCAGCTAGTTTATTATAATAATATGCATAGTTAACAAAATTAAAGTTTCAAAGAAGTTTGCCTCCATACCTTTACATAGCATTGTTTAGTAAATAAAGTAGTAAGTATAATTTGATAAACGTTAATATTAAAAAAACAAAACATTTCTTAATTTTAATATGTTTAGTCGGATAATAAAAAATCTTTACACTGCGTTTAAAAATCATGTATATATATATATATATATATATATATATATATAATAATAATAATAATATATTTATTCAACAACAACAACAACATAATATAAAATATATAATTAACATTTGACATTTTAAGTTGATACCTACTCTCTATAAGCATGGCTTGTGGTGAGAGTAGGGAGTCTTAAAAATTAATTACAGTAATTACTAAAAAATATAACAAATAGGTTCAGTACAAATATAATAAATACAGATATTAAATAAGATTTTCAAAGGACTGCGTATACATATTTTTTAACATTTTTTTAAATTTAACATCATTATCAATCAATTTGAGATTTGTTGGTAGTCGATTAAATAGGTTTATCCCTCTGTTTATATAATAATTACTCATCAATGATGTGTTATGTTTAATTAAATTTAAGTTTCCATTGATCATTCCTCTTGTTTTATACATATTCAGGGATTCATAAACTGATTTATTCATATATATTTTTAAAATTGATGTTTTATTGTATAACTGTTCCAATGATAATATTTTTAATTTTTGGAATATAGTATTTGTGTTAATTTCGGAATTATAAGTATTTTTCATTATTACTCTGACGAGAGTTCTATGCGTTACATTAAGTGGTTCAAGTACATTTTTATAGGCGGAGCCCCATACTATTATGCCATACATTAAGACAGACTGAACTAATGCAAAATAAACCATTTTTAGACTTGGAATGTCTAATATACTACGTAGTTCTTTGAATATATAATAGCATTTCCTTAAGCGTAATATTAGCATATCAATATGAGGTTTCCATTTTAATTTTTCATCAAATATTACACCTAAATATTTGTACGAACTTACTCTAGCTATACGGTAACAATTATTACATTCATTAATTATATTCATGTTTTTACATTTATTATTATGAAAATGGATTATAATTCGATCAGGTAAATTCAGACTGGATAGCGCGAATGGGATAAAAACTGATTTTTTTTTATTTAGCATTAAACTGTTATTAGTATACCATTTACTAACCACTGTTAGACCTTTATTAGCACTTTTTTCCACCTCAGTCCAAGTATCAGCTTCAAAAAACAATGCAGTATCATCTGCAAAAGCTAATATTTTACCTCCTATATCTAAATTTAATAAGTCATTCACATATATTGAAAATAAAATAGGGCCTAGCACTGTACCTTGAGGGATGCCAAATTTAGCAGTACAGGAATCACTTAGAATACCATTAATTTCGGTTGTTTGTGGTCTGTTAAGAAGGTAAGATTTGAACCAATACCAGAAATTATTATTTCCAATTATTATTTTTAGTTTACGTAACAGTAAATCATGCGAAATAGAGTCAAATGCTTTAGCTATATCCAAATATATACATAAACATTTTTTACCTCTATCTAAAGACTCATAAATTAAATTGGATAAGGACGCAATTGCATTTTGACAACCCACATTATCTCTAAAACCGTATTGATTGTCACTTAAAGCATTTTTGTCTGTAATAAACCTGTGCAACTGAAGTTTCGCACATTTTTCTATGACTTTTGCTATTGCAGATACCAAAGAGATTGGCCGGTAATTTTGTAGTTCTCTCACATCACCAGTTTTGTAAATTGGGATGATTATCGATTTTTTATATATATGTGGAAATATACCTTTTGAAAAACTTAAGTTAATTAAATAAGTAATCGGACTGATAATGTGGTCTGCTATCTGTAATAATGTATTTGAAGAAATATTATCAAAACCGGGTGATGTCCCTTTTTTTAATAATTTAATAATCAATAGTATATCTTTCTCCGTAAAATTTAAATAATGTAAATTATCGTTATTAAAGCTATCTCTATTCTCAGTATTATTTATTGTAGAGTTAATTATATTAGGTATTTCGTTATCACTTTGAATTTGTCCTGCAATTTTTTCACCCACAGAGGCAAAATAGTTATTTAATATATTAACACATTTATTTGTGTCCGTATTGACATTGATCAGTTGATTTTCATGAATAATTTGTGAAATGGGTTTGTTACTTTTGACATTTTTGTTGATAACCTCCCCTATTATGTTCCATACCTGTTTAGTAGCACTATTGTTATTATTATTATCACCAGTATTAATATTCAATACTCTATTTCTATAGTAATCATTTTTTGCGTTCCTTATTAATGTACACAATTTGTTCTTATATCTTTTATAATAATTTAAGAAATGAATATCATTTGGCCTATTTTTTATACTTTTACCTAATTTATCCCTTTTCCTAATCGATTTTATTAGACCATCAGTTATCCATGGCTTAATTTTACGTTTATTTGACGAGATATTTTTTTCTTTTTGTGTGCTTGAATTAATTATATAATTATTTAGTAAATTATGAAATTTAAATGCACATATATCGACATCAGATTCATTTAAAATTGTTTCCCACTTTTCGTTAATCATAAGGGAATTTAACAGTTTTATATTTATATTCATTTTAATGTTTTTGACTTCGTGATTATTTTTTATATTTTGATTATCAGCTATTAACAAGGTACTATAATGATCAGTAATATATGATTCTAAGATAATAGGTTCAATATTAGTAATGTCTTCGTTATTTATAAATATATGATCAATAGTAGTATGACTATTATTATAAACTCTAGTATACTCATTTATGCAGCTATAGAATCCCATTTGTGCCATAAAGTTAAGATAATCCGTTTTATATTCATCGTTACTATTTTTAGAAATATTAATATTTATGTCACCTATTATTATAATTTTTTTTGTTTTAATTCTACTTATTATTTCGCCTAAACGATTTTTAAAATTTATAAAATTATTATTATGTCCCCTATATAATGCTATTATTTCGCGAGGTACATTATTACTACATAAACTTAATACTAGACAATTACAATTATCAATAATAATCTCACTGAAATTATTTACAATATGTTTGCTATTTACAAAAGCTACAATGCCACTATTTTGATTAAAATTATTATCGCTAGTTCTATATAAAATGAATCCATCAATTTCAAGATTAATAACACAGTTACTTAACCAGCATTCAGTAAGTATAATACAATCAATGAAATGTATAATATTATTTAACATGACTAATAGCTGGGAAAAGTTTTTATTGATCGATCTAATATTTAAATGAAAGATAGTAAATCCATCTTTATTTACAAAAAGTGATTTTAAGTCAATAATATCCGATATAATATTAGTTTTAATCTCATATAGGTTATCTAACTCGTTTATAATATCATTCATTATATAATTATATTCATTATGTACATAAATAAATAGACAGACATATAAGACCTACCTATATTATTTTATTTAAATCAATTTCATCATATATCCTCGTAACTTTGGTGTTTTCATCTTTACGAACTAAAATATCTGTTGAGTTCATCCATACGTATTTGTAGCCCTTTTCTTTCGCCAATGTCTTCGTTTTCCACAACAATAATCTTCTAAATTTTGTCAGATGATTATTAATATAAATTTTAGATGATGGCCAATCGCCCCGATACTGATTAGCAGCCCATTTATTTTTCTTTGCTTCAGTGACCAACCGGTTTCTATCATTATTATTTGATAACCAAGCAATTATCTTCATATCGGTTTTATGTTTAGTTGTTATTCTATAAGCTTTCAATACATCACAGTTTATTTCCAATTTTTCTGATATTTCTTGAACTATAGACTTACAATCTTCGTTTCGCATTATAGGTATACCAGTAATTTCAACTGCATTTTCCAATGACTTCTGGTCCAACTCGTCAATTTTCGCTTTTAATTGTTGAACCTCAGTTGAAAGTTTTTCATTTTTTTCAAATAATTTCTGGTTTTGATCTCTAAGTTCTTTCATCTCATTAAGTATTTTCCCCACTGTTAAATTGAACTGGTCAAATTTATCACTCATATATTTAACTGAATCCGTTAATTGCTTTATTTCATCATTTTTATCGCTATTGCTCTGATTACCCTTTTTGTTATTCCATTCAGTTTTACAATCACTACAGACCCATTTGCTTTTCGTATTTTTTGACATTTTACCAAAACTATTATCATTCATACCTTGACAATAGTGATGAAAACATGTTTTGCATTCCATGCAAAATAATCCGTCTTCCTTGATTAGTTCATCTCGACACTTTCCGCAATTCATTTTTATTTCGGTACTATAATTATGGAGCAATTTTAGTTATACATATATATACATATATATATATATAATAATTGAGGTACACGTTATATAAATTATGACCATGCTTTAATAGTTGTTAATAGTTGTACACTCATACAATGTAAAATGTTATTAAAATGATAGTTATAATAATAATAATAATAATAAAGATAATAATAATACAGTAGACGCCGCTTATAAGACTCACTTTGGGTCCAGCACAAAGTGATTCTTATAACCGAATGAATCTTATAGGCGAAGTGGAAAAAAAAAATTAATTAAGTATTTATACATTTCATTTTACTACATTTTTCGCTTTGATTTTAATACTTTAAAACATATTACATATTACATACTTCATTATTGAATAAATTTAATAATCCTGATAAAAAAAAAAAAAACTAAAATTATAATAAGTAAATATTACATATAAAAATATTATAAAAGTTATACATTAATAAAAAATTATAAAGGATGTATGTACCTACATATTATAATGTATGTGTTATTATATTCGTGACCAGATAGTGGTCTCACCACAACTGGCACTTATTGGTCGGGTTCATGTTGGAGCCTAGAGGACACCTAAAGTCGTCGCTGAAGTTTTTTAAATTGGAAAACGAGCCGATTACCCGGAAACGGGAGAGCGAATGCCCGTCGTATTTTCTAAGAAAATGCATAACCGCCGTATCTTCCTTGGAGCAATACACATTGGCTGTGCTCAACCAAAACATCTGCTGAGGAGTGTACTCTTGGAGCCCGGGAAGTCGCGGTTCGTTGCCATGTACTTTGACCCACTCTCTGTACGCGTTATACGCCAGCTTTAAGCCTCCCATGTCTGATATATTTTCGCCCAGCGTTAGAGTGCCGTTCAACTATGGAAAATAAGTCATTATTTTAGGTCGTTGTCTTAGAGTGGGATTGTTTAAATGAGGAAATAACGTGATGGGGAGAAGTGGAGATAATTGAAACGTATTAATACATTTTTTTAAAAATAAATTTGATCTGTGTTTTTTTGAAATATCAGTTAAACGGCAATGGCGATCTGATAAAGAAGTATATTTTGAGCGGTAACTATTCGATAAGATACGCTGTTTGTATGGGGACGTTTTTAACTCACATATTATTGAAAGGCATTATTGAAAGATATCAAACACAATAAAACAAATATTGAAATGTTCATTTATATGGATTGAATACAGGTAAATGTTAAACTGCATATGTATTTTATCAACAAGACAATTTGTGATTCTGATATTAGATCGACATTCTGTATGATACATAGGTTCATATTTTATAATATTATACCTATACTTGTGTGGTATGAACGCCGTATGGTACGATAAAATATTATGTATCTACTAAAACAATATCAGCATCGTTTTTTATTTTTTTATTTTTTTAATGTTCTTTGTATTATTATACACTTGTACAATACTTGTTAGATGGAATATATAAATTTACTACTATTTGGTGCAGGATACAGATTGCAGATGCGGCTGGTATATTTTTTTACTTGAGGGGCATTTTTAACAGTTCCATTCAAACATAATACAAATACATATTGTAATAGGTTATTAATTTTTACAACTCATAATAAAAATGTATAGGTATAATATCTGCAATTCGATTTTTTAGTAGCGAAATGGGCGAACCACCTTTAGAATTATATCTAGAATTTAGATATACGAAGTTAGGGGAAAATTACATTTTCAATAACAAAATATGATAATTCAACCTTAAATTTAATCTACATTAAAACGTAGTCTTAAGAAATGTATTTTATTACACACACCTTGTGACCGTCAATGGTGTAATTATCATACTGTTTGATGAAACACTTTTCCTTTTCCAAAAAGCGTTTATTCGTCTCCTCCTGCCACCAATTTGCCAAGTTGCCATGCATATCAAACTTTCTGCCCGAGTTATCAAAACCATGAGTGATTTCATGACCAATTATAGAACCGATGGAACTGTAAACCATATATCGAGGAACATCATTGGAAAAGGACAACTCTTGCAACATAGAAGCGGTAAACACTAGAAAATTAAAAACATTTTAATTTTATAGTACAGCAAATACGGTTGTAATCATGTTCATGTTTATGTTTATGTACTTATATTATATTATATTATTTCATATAGGTATAGTGTTCAAATTTATAAATTATATATTCACGAAAAACCCTTTTAAAATTGTTTCTTTAAAGTATATATAACTATACACTTTTTAAAAAGTTTAATAATATACATTAAGTATTGAGTTTAGGGGAGAAAAAAGCGATTGGACTTCTTAGCGTTCTTTTTTATATTTTTAATTTACTCTGCTCCAAATACTTCACCCAAAATATTTTTGATAGACCACGAAAATAACTTACTGTACAATGACTTCTATATTTTGTTGATTTAAAAAAAAAAACATGAATTGCTAATTTGTATGCCTGATTTTTGTTTAAAATATGGATACATAATTTTCAACAACTACACAACACGGTTGGCCACTCAACAAATAACAATTAACAACAGGGATACCTACGTATACTGTATAGTATAAAATACTATATGTTATTCAAATATTACTCACGGATACTGTTTCCCTGAGGATTATAGAACGCATTTAACACTGGTACCACCCCACTGTTATAAACCCAATCCAATTTATTAACAGGTTTCCTTAATTTCGAAAACTCATAGTCAGTGCTAAATTTAGTTAAATTCAATACTGATGTATAAATGTCTTGGTCGTTGACTTCTAACTAAGAAAAAAAAAACAAATAATCAGTAAGTTGTAAAAAAATACTCATAAATCAATAATAAAAACCATTTAAAAATATTTTTATCACGTATCGTATTCTAATCTCCTATGCCCTATAGTTTAGACCTTTGCAATTAATTACATTTTCATAATACGAATTCAGCTTGCCGTCGTCCAATAATTCATCAGGATATGCAATATCATTCGCTAATATCAACTTTGCTTTGTCCATGGCGCTTTTCCTAAACGAAAAAAAAAAAATAATAATATCATATATTTATTTTTATATCAACTTTCTGTATCTATTTTTATTTAGTACCTACTAGATCAACTGAAGTTTAAACTTTACCTTGTTTCATCGTCCATCCACTCATTTGATAATAGCATTTTGTAAAATTCTTTTCTTATATCGTTCACGATTTCTAAAGCATTATTTTTAGTGTTTTCATTGATATACCGTCGAACATACATCGACCCTATGGCAGTGTTAAATAATTCAAAACTTAAATCCGCGCATTCCTTCCATCGAGGGACTTCTATCGTTCCGAAGACGAGTGTTTCAAACGTTTGCTTTATCTGTCTCAGTTCTCCAGTCAGGCATTTTACGGCATCATCAACAGATCTCCACATCATGTAATTTGCTTGGACCCTGAAGACAATCAAATTAAGTTCTACTGCATTTTTAGTGAATTATACATAGATAATTTCAATAAACATTTTAGATGAATTTTAACAAATTATATAATACGCAGTTACTAAAAATTATATATTAGAAAATGCGTTTATATTAATATGTTGATTGTTGACGTAGGTAGATAATTGGCTATTACTGCTTTTATTATAAAATCAAATGATGGTAATATTTTAAATAAAATGATACAAATTCGCTTATTAATTTATTAAAGTTTTTTATTTGTTTTATAACATTTGTATTTAATATATACCTTTTGGGCGTTTTGCTGAGTAGTGCTTCCAAGCCCGAAAAGTATTCCAGCGAAGACACAATTATAATGTCATCCTGACGTATGAATTGGTTCAACAGCTTGTTAAGAAATTCTTGCCATGGTATGCTCGGAAACTTTTGTTGTAGAAAGGTGATATTCATCGGATTGTACGTCTTTAAGTAGTCACTTGCTTCTTCCGGTGGAATCGATATCTTGGCCAATTCTATCTCAAAGTCTAATGACTCCCTCAGCTCCTCGGTGGCCCTCTGCCGGTCAGCTCCAAACAGCACTGAGATATCCACCATGTACCTGTAGTATTTGTCCACAGCTCGGTAATCTCTGCCCTGGACCAGGTGCTGGTTTTGAAGTCCCAAGGACGCTTGATCCAGCTGAAATATTTTTCAAGTGTAACAACACCCGCCAAACACATTATTGATAGTAAATAGTAAACTTTTCTAATTATATGGTCACCATTATGATGGTAAAATCTCCATATTATGATAAACTCTATCAGGTCAACGTATATGTTTAACTAAAGGAAAATATGTGTACACCCAACAGAGTTGTTTTTAATTGAATTGCTACATTGTTAATTGGCCACACTGAGGCAGTGATATATATTTAGTAATTTACTATTGTTAGGTAATATAAAAATTCAAAAAAAAAAAGGTGAAAAAAAATAGTATTAAAAAAAAGGTACACTGCTGTACAGTAGGTTATAAGTGGGTCACTGTATAATGGATAGTATTAAATTTGAATTCAATGATATAATATCATTGTATAAGAAAAACGATTTTGAGCGGAGACGGTATGTCAGTCTAGGTATAAGACATATTATATACTTATCTATCATATTAAAATATAATTTACCTAAAATAGGTACTTATAATAAATTCCAAATTAATCATATCACAATATCCAGTATGTACTTAAAATGCGTTAATTCTAGGTTTTTTTTTAATGTAATTTTGTCCAAAGTTGAACTTAAAATGACTATAAAAATAAACTGTGCTTATGTATTTTTTTAGATTTTTTGTTAACAGATATAACTACTTACGTGGAATCTTGTTTTAAATTTTCAATCTTTAGATATAAAAGTTGAACATTTTATAAATTTTTAACTACAAAATAATTATTCAATTTTAAATTTGATAAATTTTGTAAAAATTTGATCTTTAAATGCTTATAAAAAAAAATTGTGCATATGTATTTTTAATATTTTACAACTGATATTGTAACAATATATCAGGAGCCTTGAATTAAATTCCTACACTTTTTGGCCCAACAAATAAAACTTTATTGATATTCATAGAAAAAAAAACTAAAAAAATGGAAAAATTCAAATATCCGTAAACAGCTCAAAAAGAGTCAAAATATTTTCAAAATTTTATGGTGTATAGGAAATGCTAATATACACATTCAGTGAAATTTTCATGTATCTATAATTATTCGTTTATGAATAACAACAAAATAAGGAAATCGCTATATGAGAAATTGAGTGAACATCCAATGTTGTAAAAATTTGAATTTCAAACGCTCATAAAAATTTAATTTGATTGTCCGGTAGAGATTTTTTTATTGATAAAGGTAGACAAACTTATGAGTAATCTTGTATTTTAAAACCTTAGATTTAAAAAGAAAAACTTTTACGAATTCTTAACTCAAAATAATTTGCTAATTTTCGTGATTTTTCCATATTTTGTCAATTTTTGAACTTTAAATGCTTATAAAAAAAAAACCGTGATCAAGGATTTTTAATATTTTTCAAATGCCATTGTAACAATATAGTAGGAACATTGTATGAAATTTTCAAGCTTTTTTAACCAACAAATAAAATGTTATTGATATTTTTAGAAAAAAAACTAAAAAAAAATGTAAAATGAAAATGTGCCTAAACAGTTCAAAATAAATCAAAACATTATGAAAATGTTATCGTGTATAGAAAATGCTAATATAAACATTCAGTCAACATTTCATGTACCCTACGGTCATTTGTTTAAGATTTAAAATTGTTTTTAGTAAAAAGTCCCGTTTTTCCTTAATTTTTATTTTGTTTTTCAAGCCGCTTTTAAAAAACTACTAGGACATTTTTACTTTTGACCCCCCAAAGTACCAACTAGATTCACTTTCCTATCAGAAAAGATACTGTTGAAGAAAATCCAAGCCTTTTTACTGCCCTAAAAGGTGATGACAGACACAAAAAAAAATTTTTAAAAAAAATTAAAAATTAAAAAAAAAACACACATCATTGTAAAATCAATACATTCTTCGTTTCACTCAGAATCTAAAAATAGATTATATAGACCAAATATTAGACACCTTCACTTTTTATATTCTGAGCTTCGCGAAAGAATGTATCGATATTACAATGATGATTTGTTTTTATTTCTGTCCGTTATCATCATTCGAAATAGAACTAAAAATGGGACATTCAAATATAATTTAAGCACATGAAAAAATATATAATGTTAAGTATTTTATTATATCTATAACTATTAAAAAGGGGGACAAGTTGGTACTACTCTGCTGTACAGAAGTTGTCGAGTATGTCATTGTAATGGATGTGTTATATTTGAATTCCATGATAAATCATTGGATACGAAAAACGATTATGAGCCTAGGCCTAGTGGCGCAAAACAACTGGAGTAAATTCCCCATAACTTTTGTAGGTGGTGGATGAGTAGGTGGATGACTGCTTAGAGCTTAAATGTCTTGTTGAATTAAATAAATTACTACTAAATATACAATATCGTTCAAATTATATACTCAAACGCTCCTTAAAAATGATTGTTACTTAACGCTAAACTGAATTGTTTTGTACTTAAGTAGAACATCTTGTTATATTTCTTATCTTAGCTATGAAAAGACAATCTTTTATGAACTTCTAACTGAAAAAAAGTTTACAAAATTTGAAAAAATTTTCATGGCTTTAAATAGCTCAAAACGTGTAGAAATAGCTTGAAAATATCACAGTGTATGGAAAATTCTGATATAAATATAGGTATGGTAAGCATTTAATAAGTTTACGGTTATTCGTTTTGAAAATACAACAAAATATAAAAAATCAATCAATAATTTACTTTACTGAGTATCAAATGTAGTAATAAATTATAAGTTCAAAAGCTTATAAAAAAAAAAGCTCCGTTTAAGTACACTTTTTTTGTTTACCAGGGTGGCTGCATTGCACTTACTGCTGCGAGTTACATCCAAAAGGATATAACAATCACAATTTTTTAATGGGTTGTCATTTTTAAGGGCAACGAAGTACACAGGGTCAGCTATAATTATATATGTATTTTGAAACCTTTTTTTATATTCAGTGAATGAACGTATTGAGTTTGCAATAATGTGTGGTTTTTTCTGTGAATAACATACCAAAAATACTATAATTTTCGAAATCAGCATAATTTCTGATAGAATAGGGAATATAGTTTGTGAATTTGGAAGGTCAAATTTGAAAGTTCTCACTAGTTTTTGAAAGCGTCGGGAAAAAAAATTATGGAATAATGGGAGTTTTTACACAAAACCAATTTTTACAAATGCGGTATTGTTTTTATGGTGTAGCTCAATATTTAAAAATCATAGACACTTAAAACGTTCACCAAATATTTATATTTGCATTTTCCATTTACGGAAACATTTTCGAAATATTTTGACACTTTCTGAGCTATTTATATAATATCATTTATAATTTTGTTAAAATTATATATGATAAAAACTTTTTCACTTAGTAAACAAGCTTGCGAATGTAATTCGAGGGCTCTCATAAGATGCTTTAATGGCAGTTCAAAAAAACAGTAAAGATACATAATATTATACACAATTATTTTTATATTTTATTCAAAGTTCAAATTTTAACGAAATTCATCAGAACACCGAAAATTTGCAAATTATTTGTCAGTTAAAAATTAATAAATGTATTTCTTTACTTATCTAATATTATAAATTTTAATTGAAGATTTCCCACAAGTTTTATCTTTTTTAGCATCCATTCAGAATCTTATTTGTATGCAATGATTTATCATTGAATTCAAATCTAACACATCCATTACAATGACATACTCGATAAATAATTATGGTACTCACTTGTCCACCTATTTAGTATTGGATACAGGATTAATCCATAATGAATAAGTTACTCATGTTTCGGAATTGTTTAATTATACTTGGTGGTAGCATTTACTTTGAATTGAAACGTTTTAAAAACTTAATAAAAACAATTATTAGTACTGGAATAAATTATCACCTAAATATAAACAATCATATATATTTAGGTATAGACTATAGACTATAGGTACCCGGATGGATGGACACGATGGGGATATAATTGTACCTACCTATATAACTACATAAGGTGATCTAAATTTATGTTTGGAAAACTAAAACTATGTTGAACCTTTTAAACTACCAGGTATAGTAACTAGTAAGTTACAAAAACCTATTGGTACAAGTGACAATATGACAAGTGAATTGTGAATATACAAGTCAATGTACATAAATTAATAATAATACATTCTGCAGCATTCATGAATTAAATTTTCTAATTATTCAATTCATACAAAAAGAGAAAAATATCATAACATTTGTTGAAAATTGTATCACCTGTATTTTCGTATAGAAACTATTATTAATGATAATTGAGAATAATAATTTATTTGGTCATCAAGAAACCATAACCAACAATTCTGCCAAGTTTCAAAATTTTTCAATTAATTTCATTGAGTAGTATCGTACAACCTACCGTACTACTCATTGTGAAATAATTTACTTTAGGTACCTACTTGAAATATAAATATTTTACAAATGATACCTACGTACCTAGTTGTATTGTTGATCGTCTTCGCCCAAAGGCCAAAGGTGTTTTTCATATAGAATTATTTATCATTTAATTCAAAATTAGCACATGCATTATAGTGACTCACTCAAATCTTACTACATAACTTCAGAGCACTTAATTATTCCTATTATTTTCAATATTATTTAAAATTAATTTTATGTATGTATTATTAATACTAAAATATATATGTACATATAAATAAAGATATAATTAGATTTCTAAGAATGTTTAATGTCATAGAATTGTATACGTTTTTAATATAATTTGTCTTTACATCAAGCTAATTTAAATTGTACCTATTATAATAGGAATAATATGTGGGTATATGGGCAATAAGTCCCTTAATAATATATGCAATATTACCTATCTATTTTTAATATTTAACTAATTTCAAATTAATTGTTTATCCACGTATTAATACTTATATTGTGAAGGGGAAAGAGTTAGTAAAATATGCAAATAAAATATACCTCTCTCTAATATAAAAATATACCTTAACCCTTAAACATGTATCGTATTCATTTTATAATTAGGTCTATGAAATCAGATTGATTTGGATCGCTCATATTTTAAACTTTCATAGTCGTGGATTCGTGCATACAAATTACACACAGTGTAAATACAAAAATGTTTATAATTCAGGACTCTGCACATAACGATAACAGATGTTTTCGTCTTATTATGTTAAATATAATGATATTGTATTAATATAGAGTAGCTTACGAAAATAGCTGCTTTCGTACGGTTTTTAAAATCTGGTGTGATTGATATTTTTAATAAGTAGTTGATTTTCAAGCCCATTTCTTTAAAACTGTTCAGGCTGTCCATCCAAGTGAACTTTGATTCGTCCCAATTCTCAGCTTCCAGCAATGGCCATCCGCCGAGGCTTTTCAACATTTCCTTCATTGGTCCCAAGCCTATCTTTTCAATTTTCTCTATTAACATTTAACATACAATTTATAGAAAATTATTTGATATATCTATGTTTCCAAATCACGTGATAAAACCATGATCTAGATCGAATTTTTTTAGTTTTATTTTTGAGACAGAAGTAATTTGCGTGAAATATGAATGAAATATTTTAATATTCAGTAAAAATTATTATCGGATGTGTTAATACTTAAAATTCAAATTAAAAAAAATACACGTAAATAGGTAATGTATCAACATTTTACTTAGATCATATGTTATAATGTGTTTGATAAAAAAAACAGTTCAAAAGTTGTAAAAATCAAAACAAAATAAACGTGGGCCAAAGGTTACAGCTCCTGTTTCTAGAAGGGGTGATAGTATGTATATTATATTAAATTTGAATTCAATGATATAAAATCATTGTAGACATAGGAAAAACGATTCTGAACAAAGACAGACCGCTATCCTATATTAGATACTAATTATTATATATTATGATATTATTGCTATTAAAGTAAGTTAAATAACTCATTAATAATCCACGAAGTTAAATTAATTTTTGACAAAATTAAACATACTTATCAAATTATAATCATTTTTAATCGTCTATCCCTAATCGACTCACTTTCATAATCCAAATTATAGTTTATTATTGAATTTTCGAGCTATATATATATGTTACCGGAAAAGATGACATTCAGTCAGTGTTGACAATGACTAGTCCATAACGATAAGGCCTGATTTAGTAAGGAATTAACGTCAATAACTAGTAATTTATGACAATTCCTAATGAAAGAAGGCATTGATGATAACATTAAAAATTAAGTTGAAAATCGAATAATATATTATAAATTATAATACTTTTTAGCTATTTATTATAAATCATAAGCTTAATCTTTATTGTTACACGGTAAACTGCTATGACACTTAGAATTACATAATCTAGTAGATGCACGACAAGCACATCTATTGGTCTTACACTGTCATTTTTTACATACTAACGCACACACTCTGACGCATTGGTTATAGTTTTAATAAGACGATCTTTACCGTTCATAATAAGAATATCGTACTTACGAACATTCCTATAGTTTTTCGTACACTTTTTTACTCCATCCGTAGATAGTGTAATTTTAGATTTTTTTTATTTCTTCGATTCGTTCACAATATTCTTCATTATTAAAAAAAAAGTTGCTGTCGTTACGTTTGGATTCAATTAATAATAGAATTGCGTTATCAAATTTTATGCGCATTTCTTTTAAATCCATTTTTAAGGAGAAAAAAAAGGTTGAAAAAAAAAAACAATGTTATTAGTTATTACACGTTACTATTTACTACTTCAATGCACTATGCACAAACAATACTGTACAGTGTACAGTCACTTTCGGGATGTGACCATAACGATACCAGCTAGGTACGATAGTTCTGTATAATCAATTTTATTATAATAGTTATAAGCAATAAAAACGATAACATAAAACAGGATTTACCATATTATATACTATAATAACTAATAAATAATAGATAATATATAATTATAGATAGCTATGTTTCATAATCAGATCGATCACCGCATAAAGCGCGGTGTCGATATTTTTTTCGATTCGGATTTAAAACATTGTCTAATATAATACGGAAATGTTGATAAAACTACGAAACATCCAACATTGCCTAACCTTTCCAGCCATTGTCAACAATGACTAGGATATACCGACAATTCCTGAATTTTCATCTATTCCGGTAACATATATAATATTCTATAAGACATAACAATGTTTTATGTCAGTCATATTATGTTCTTTTCCGACTACAGCAGTCGTGGTAAGACGTGTGTTCTTCCTCCGTACCTAAATCGTAGTTTATCAGTACCGTTATAATATCTTTTGTTTAAGTATATAATAATATATATCTAAGTTGATAAGAAAGTCTCCGTCTTTATACACGCGCTACTATTTTATCTTATTTCACCGTACATTGATTGATATATTATCTAACTTTTATATTTGCCGATAGCATTTAAGCTTAGCAGTGGCGTATTTAGGAATTTTGCTAGGGGGGGGGGATGAAATATATAATAATTAATAATACACCTATAAATACGTACATAATATACATTTTTGAAATCTCCTAACTTGTTACCTACCTATTGAAGTAAGTGGATCAAGGCGAAATAAGAAACACAAACTGTATAGTACCTAATACTTATTATTATTATTATTATTATTACTTATAAAAACATTTATTATAAATTCATACTAGCGTCAATTCCGTGTTTAATACGATAAACAAAAAAAAATAGTTACAATACAAAATCCAGCTTTCTCATTTTTTGGGTGCTCAGTTCATCGATAACCTCATCTGGCATTATTGTTGTATTGACCGGTGACATGCTAATAAAGCCAACACATGACGGAATAAGGGCCCGTATTACAATAGGTTAAACCTCTGAATTAGGCCTGTAAAATCAGTGGGTTAAGTGTAACCGAGGTTTAAACTATGATTGTAAAACGGAACCTAGTCGGTTAGGTTGGGTTAGGTAAGGTTAGCCCTAATCGGCTCTAATTAACAAAGTATATAATAATTACTACTTAATTTATAATTATTATTCAATATTAGATAGGAAAATTGATAAAATATTTACTTCTGTCATACTATTTATATTGGTTAAGACTTCTTACCTAATAAAAACTTGAAAAACTTCGTTCAGGTGTAGCAGTTGATACAGGGAAAGTACAAAATATTTTCAAGAGTTCATAAGTATTTAGATAAACTCTTTATAACAAATATCTAAAGCATGTAAACCAGAGGTGAATAAAATTGTTTCAGTCAATAACTACACATCAGTCACTAAAAATAAACAAACGCCCTATGGCAAATCTACAGTTTTCATGTTAATTTTGTTTTATTTACCAACTGTTTATCGCGGTTATTATAAACACTCTTGCATGAAAAATAATTCGCAGAAAAGTAAAAAGTACAGTACTTACAAAATACTACCATAAAGGTATATGTTTTTGTTGTCCGATATATATGCCATATATATGCCTCGAACGACTAGTCTCGTATAGTATATATCAGAGCTGTAAAATTACCAAGGCTAGAACATTTAGAAAACCCACATACTTAAAAGTAATATCATATTGAGAAATACAGAAAATGAGAAAACTTAACTTTACAAAAAAAAAGGTCAAGAGGGGATCTATCCCCCCCCCGTAAATACGCCACTGAAGCTTAGGTATCTATATAATTTCGTTTATTGTGTAAAATTTTGTGCAGCATTAATGAAAAGGGGCTCTAAATAAAGAAGTACCTTTTAGTAAAATTACAAATAACACTAAAACAAGATTTACTTGTTAAAGTTGCACAAAAACTAACCAAAAATCTCCAAAATTAAAACCTAATAAACCCGTGTCGTGACATATTAATTCTGTAGAGACAAATATCGAAGAACTCATTATATCAGTTTCCTTTTTGAGCTCGCAGTAGGACAATTTTACTAAATTTACTAAATCTTCCTATACTGCAAACTAATGCTATTCTGATTTATGAAAAACTCAATATAAATAATTGTATGATTATTTATAATCAACTTGTATCAGTAGATTTATATAAATATTATAAACATTTAATTAATGCATCGGATCAGGAACCTAATGCTGGATATAAGCAAAATGTTAATATACGCTTACTGAAGTGCCAAACATTTTTAGAGAAAAAAGTGTCGTGTATACTGGTCTTGATTTATGTCGTTTGTTAAATATTAATATTAATCAGTTTGATAATTTAAAGTCATTCAAAACTTATCCTAAGTATATGGATTTTGCAAAGATAATAGAATTATAATAAAACTAAGTTCATTATTATTATTATTTGTTCAAACTTTTATTCACGCAATTCGAACATTTCACTAGAAATACGCCAAAATATAAAAATATATATTATAATATGATTGTATAATTTTGCTAATCTAATAAATTTGTAACACTTGTATGCATTATACCTTGGTCCATACACGATTTAAACTGTAATTTTATCATCTTGAACGGTCTCAGTTCATCTGGTTGAATGGGTTCGTTGACGATCATTCGCCTCTGATTTTCTATTTTTTTTGCAATCAATGACAATGTGCCTCGAAGTTTTTCGTTATCTTCGAGAATCGAGTTTTTTATAAAATTACCACACGCAAACTGATAAAAATCATCACATGGATCTACTGATTGATCCATGTTGTTGATTAAGGAAGCCGCTGGAATATTATTCAGTTTTAATATCATATAAAGCCACAGATTTCTATATAGTACTAGATAGCGAACTCCCGCCATGAATTGAAGCTTCAAGGTCGGTTGGCCATTGTATGGTATTTCATATGAAAAATAAGATGATATTATGATTTATTTTATATCATATTTTATTATTTCTAAACATTTAGGTTACAAAATATAAAAATTTTTTATATAAGTAATTTTACATTTACTATTTTATTTGACCGTTAAACAAAATATTATTCCTAATACATTTTGTATAATAAATGAAATGTTTTGCCAACCGACAAAATGGCGGCCGTTCACAGCTGAGCTTCACTTGTAACAATGTAAATTGTATAAGAGTTCCTTATCTAGTGTAGTATAGAAGTCTGTGTATAAAGCATACAGACATATCACATATATATTTATCAATCGTACAATATAAACGTTTTATTAAATTTATTATAAATCAGAAATGATCTAGTCGTATATCAAATGATGACACTTACCAACTTTCACACAACCATTTGAGAGGCAAAAAAGGTTATCTTTTTCGTATTCACTATTCTGGAGCAGCCTCCATGAATTGGCAACCAAACCATTCTTTTCAGGTAATATCGAGGGAAGATTCTCTGTGAAAATTTCAGAATTGGTCGTAAATTATAATCTTATAACCTAGGTATTTTGTCATTCTACCTAATTTGTATGTAGCATAATACTATGCTGGGAGGTTAATCGAAGTTGTGGTTTTTATAAAGTCTGTGTTGATAGATTAATAAAAATAAATAAATAAATAATATTATAATCGTTTATATATGTGAGCGCAACATGAAGTATTTAATTATACATTTTTCTGGATAGTCAACTCAACCCGGTTTAAATCAGTTAACAAATAATCGAAGTCTGATTATATTTATAGAATATTATAAAATAATAACATAATAAAATCGCATTAAGGTTTGTTACCATTAAATTAAGGCCGTACATCATTTGCGCATCGTCTGTTTACCTGCACCAAATTATCGTACATCATATTATGCGCATCAAAATTCTGAACAATAGAAAAGTATAATAATAATTGTACACATATATTATATTATATAGATAATGAATAATTTAATATACATATGCACAAGTTTTTGTTCAATAAGCATTTAAAGTTGAAATGTTGACAAAATTTATCAAAATCTCAAAAATTTGCAAATTATTTTGTAGTAAAAAATTTAATACTCAGTTCAATTGGGCACATTACATGGTCATAGTTATAGTAAAAATAACATATAGGTAGTTTGAGTAAAAATGAATTCAACTAAATTGTGTTCAGTTAATTTAGGATTGAATTTTAAGATTAAAGTTAGAAAACAACACGCTTTTGGGTATACACCTTTTTTTCAGCTCTATTATTAAATAATATTGATGCGCAAATGATGTACAACCTTTTAAACGATCGATGCGCAAACGATGTATAACCCAAAAACCAAACGATGTACAACTGCCTTACAAAAAAGGTCAAAAATAACAATAGTGAGGCGCAAACGACAACCGGCGTAAATCAATTGTTGTTTTTTTAAAATATAAACTATAATTACTAATTGCGATAAAATGCGCACCATTAAGAAAGGTATATTATTATAACGTCCAACTGGCTCTTATTACGATATTATTTTCAATAAATAAGTTAAAAAAGAATATACACAATACAACTATATTATATTTCACATTACCAATGAAAAAATTTCTGTATTATAATATATATAATATTATACATTAAGGAGAACTGAAATGTGTAGTTCGATGGTGATACTACATTTCATGTTTATAATAAATTCCTACTCCACCTAATCAAGGCATTTTTAGTTTCAAACTCGTATCCCCCTTCCTACAGTATGTACAAGACGAGAACAAACAATATGGTCAAGTAGAAAAATCGGGCACACAAACATCACACACGATTAATTAATAAAAAAAGAACCAAGACCTTTGTTTGAATTCTATGACTCATAATTAGCTGAAGAGAGAAAAATCTTTTAAAGAGAGACGAATCTTGAAAATATTTTAATAATAAAAAACTTTAATTTATTAATGTAAATACTAAATACTTAAAAAGCGGGTAAGTGAATGTCGCTCTGCTGTATACAATAGGTTACAAGTGGGTCATTGTATAATGGATTATATTAAACTTGAATTCAATGATATTCTATCATTGTATAAGAAAAACGATTCTGAGAGGAGACGGTTTGTCAGTCTAGATATTTTATATTGTCATTAATTATTGTATCATGTAAGTTGGAATTAATATTTTAATATTATTAATTTTTATTGGTTTCTATGGTAATAAACAAAGCGTTAGAAATTAAAATCCAATTTTTAGAGGTTTTTCGTAATTTTTCGGTGGTTTTTACCGTGTAATTAAATAACAATTGATAAAATCGAAAAATGACCTGTTTAAAGTACCATCTTGATGCAATTTTCTAAAAGATAAGATACGATATGTTGAAATCGAAGCACTCCTTCTGGTAGAAATGTTGTATACAGGATATAAAAAGAAGAAAATAATAATAAAAATAAACACCATTATTAAACCACTAGCTTCCTCGCTTCGCTCAGAATCTAAAAAATTAATCTGTAAAAACGGATTTAAATATTTCACATAGGTATAAGGTACCTATACTATTATAACTATTAATATTCTTATTACCAAATGTCATGTCTAATGTATGATTATTATGAAGAACGTACATATTATTATAGTGTAAAATATAAAATATAAATTGTTTTGGCCAATGACTTAATTTTTGAAGCCTTAATAAATATTTAAAAATAATAAAAATAATAAAAATAATAATTACTCAATAGTTAATAATAAAATTGATTTTCTTTAACCGAAATAAATTTTTTCCAATTATAAGTTTAACATGATAACAGTTTGTTATTGGTAATAATATACCAAGTAGTATAATACGCCTTGAAGCATAGAGAGATACCCTTAACTGAGGAAATTGATATTCTAAATATAAAATAATGCAAAAAGTATATTCTAAATAATACAAATACAAGTAATCAAAAGAATTAACTACAAATGATATTTGCCACATGAAATTTGGACTCTGTTTAATTATCATTTTGTGCAGTACTCGTTATCGTGGTCACCAAAAGAAGAATTTAAATAAGCTTATGCAGCAGGTGTCAATAATTTACTCGCTTGACCGTTTGAGAATCGGAAACCGAAAAATATCGTGTGTCGTATACAACAAAAAGCATTTAAATCCGGGCCCTAGTTATTATGCATACTTTTTTATTATAATTTCATTGTATCAAAGTATCGATATTTTTGTACCTACATATAAACTATTTACTAGATAGGTATGTACCTAATATACAATGTACAATGAACTATAATACTACATAGGTGTACCTCATTGGGTATGTTTAAAGACGGATTCAAATATCATACTATGCACTGTTACACATAACAATATTGCAAATATACCATGTTCCAGTTATCACGATATTAATCAATTGGTAGGTAATATCATTACCTATAACTTCTATTACCTACCTATCTGAATTTTACTTATTTGTTTGTTGTTACCGAAGGCCATTGATATTATGACATTACAAGTTTTTCGTCTTACTCGCGTTGCAGCTGTGGTTCAAGTAGATTATGGACAGAGCTAGGGCCACGAACGATGATACCATTCTGCCGGTGACGATTGCCTGACTCCGTTACAAGTTTGTCGGGCTTCTGAAATGGAGCAAACACCAATATTATTGTTCTGAGGTAACAAAATACGAAAAGGTAGGTATAATAGATGCGTGTTGTTTGAAATGCATACTAGTATGACTACTGTACGACTAGTCGTATACAAGTCTGGGTATATTCAATAGTGAGTGATTACGATATCAGTTAACACTGTCTAAATATATCGGTTGTATTCAAATGAGTTTTTTGGAGGGGGGAATCTAGAAGGTAGGTACTGAAATACACATTTTGTGATATTTTCAAAATTTAATACTTCAGGCACAAATTAATATGTATTTTTGAAATAAATTATAATACCTACCTATTACCAAACTAAAAGTTTGCGTAAGTGTTATAAAATTAATTGAAAAAAAAAAATTAAATTATTTACAAAAAAAAAGTTAAACAGGAAAATTTAGCATTTTCAAAATTATTGTATTCAAACAATTTATGTTATTTTATTGTAAATTGTATATTTTTATTTTTTAAATTTGAGTAATGACTGCACTTCAATAAATTTTTTAATTTAGGAACAGGTATTATTGGTGTAATTGAGGGAAAGAATCTGGAAAGGTGTCATTTTTAAGGAGTTGCGTTTATTTAAATTATTTCGTTCTTTGCTGCCACTGCTGGTCTTTGTGTGTGTAGACGTGTAGTAAATTATTAATATGGTGGTATACTAATACAATACTAATCACTAGTAGCTAGTACTTATAATTTATAACTATGCAACACACGTTTAGACATGTGCACAGTTACTAATTGCCTCTCAAAGTTAAAAATGTCGATAAATTTCATTTAAATTACCTTCAGACTGATATGAAATTTTTCCTTTACTTACATACTTCAAATAACTATGTTTAATATGAATAAAAAAAAAGAAAAATATCTATACACTCATGACGATAATTTTGAGAATTAATTTTTTTTATGTAATATTAAATATAAGAAATTTATATTACCTATCCAATTGAACTTAGCTTGACGGCGTTAAACATTTAAAATAATAATAGCATAATGAGTATACAATAATATATATATATATATATATATTTTTAAGTAAAAACTTCTCATGGGAGTATCAATGAAACGGACAGATGTAGAGCTTTAAATTTCATATATCTGTAGTTACATACATTAGTCAGGAGTGCCGGAGCCGTAAAAGACGGTCATATGAATTCTAGGTTGTATATATTATTGTATACTTTGTTCTTATGTCCCGATATACCCGTTTTTATAATTTATACACTTTACTATAAATTTTATTTTTTATGATTAGTATTCAGATAATAATATCGTAATCATTGAGGATTTTTCAAACTACACGCAAAAAAAAATTACTATAATATTATAGTTGAACAAATTATTGTAGATATAACGATTTCATAGGCAAAATAACTAAAATGATTTAATCAATATGTCTATATAAATATAGTTATTTTTTATGGTAATGTTTACTATATTTTATAGTTAACGAAGTTTTTAATGTTTGAAGTAATTAAAAAATATAGTTAAAATACTAAAATAGCATATTTCAGTTCGAATAACTATAATAACTTGACTATGATATTTTAGTAAATCTAACTAACCTTATATATAACTATCCCTATAGCAATTGTAATGTACAGTCAATCCTACTATTTTTATAGTACAAACAACTGTTTTGTTTTTCCGTGTATAATATATGTTGTATGGTTTTAGAATAATGTCGTTTGCAATTATGTGTAATGTATTATATTATATTATATGTACTGTTTAATTTCTCTGTCTACAAAGTGTTTACGACAGTGAGGCTTACCCTCGTATTATCTTAAATATTCAATGCCCGTAATAATATATTTTAACTTTCATACCATGTGTTTTATTATTATTATTCTTTATCGACCCTCTTTAACTAAGCGCAGTAGTGCCTAACCCCGAGTTCGGTCTTGGTCTCTGGTGGGCTATTTACCCTATTTACCCTGTCGTCATATAACAAATCGTAATTTTATGTGTGAATATCCAATGTCGTCGAAATTTTTTTAACTCAAAACGTTTCGTGGGTTCAGGACCAAAAGGTTCTAATTCAATTTTTTTTTAAATCCACTTTTTGATACACGCAGCTGGTTTAATGATCAATTCAAGCTCACATCCAACTTCGTAGGTCCATTATTTGTAGGTCCATGGGGTCCAGACCCATAAATACCTATCTTAACATCTAATATATGTATGAATATATTCTGTAGCGGAGCCACATAGTTAAATGTGTTTGGAAAATTAGCTGGACCTCATCCATGAAGAATGCCTAAATACACCACTGTCCTAAACTAAAATGTGCTAAGTCGATCAAATGTACACATTCGTTATTTAATAGCAAAATAAATAGCACCTTTGAGTTTTAACAACAGTATTAATAATAGTTAATAAGCATTAATATCTAAATGAAATAATGGATTCAACCATTATTGAGAAATTAAACACGTTTTTATAGGTAGGTACTTTTTATAATAGTTATTATTATATTTTTCTCATAATAAAAAATATTAAATTTTTAGTTTTAACTTAACTTATATTTGTCTATATGAACTTATCTTAACAAACTAAAAAAATTAATTTACTTGCCAAGCCTTGATGTAGTATATATTATACTCTGTCGTGGCGTGAATAACGGCCCAAGAGACTGCACGGCCGCACGTTCACACCGAAAATGTTGAAGGTAAATGATACTCAATAGAAAAATATAGTTTAATATATACTACAAAAGTTGTAGTTACCAGAAACGAATATTCACAAATCAATTTACAGGAACCGATATCGTTAATGAATTTCAGACGTGTAAAAATATAACCCATTACTGAGTAGGTAATCGAATAATTATTAGTAAAAAATATGATTAGGCTTTACATTATACCATAAAAGTGAGCATTAATATTCAAAATTAAAGCATTTCCATGAAATATTTTATTGATTTTCGATTGGAAATATTAATAATGTCACGTCAAAAGCGTAGGTTAAAGACGGTTAATGACACTGTAGAATAATATGGCTTACATAGTTACGTAATATACCTACTATAGGAGTTGTAGTTACCAGTAAGAAATTTCCACAAATCACTTAACAGTTGATGATATCGTTATTTCAATTCAGGCGTGTAACAACCACACCGATTATTGATTAAGTAGGTAATTGAATAACTACTAATAAAAAAGTATGAATAGGCTTCAAATTATATTATCATAAAAGTGAGCATTAATATGAAAAATTAATGCAGTTCACTGAAATATTTTATTGATATTCAATTGAAAATATCGATTAAGTCACATCAAACCCGTAGATATAACAATATTGTACATATTATACTAGTATGAACGGTATACTTAAAGTTTTGAAATAAACAATAAAAATATATATAATTATATATTATGTAACAATAATACCTAATAAAAACAGGTAATTGGATTAAATGCATGGGTTTAATTATATTTTCCTAGTTCTGTATAAATTGCAATAATATTTAATATTATTTCAACACGTCTTGTTCACTTCAGTAAATTTAGTTTAAATCCAAGTTCATTTTAAGGCCATAAATGTTCAGTATCTTTATGGTATTATGCGTAGAAATTAATGCGATGTAATTTGTTATTATAAAAAAGGCGGTTTTTTTTTTAAAAGTATTAAAAATTAATAACCGAACTTGTGTCCTATTATCGTATTGACAATACAGAGTACTTGATTCTTTTAACAATATTTAATGTCACTTCAATTTACAAAAACTTCACTATCCAGTATCCACGACTTGCTCTATGATATTACGCTCTACTGCACCGCATGTTGGTTTTCGAACAATATCCATTGTCGATGATTGCAATTTCTAAACTTAATGTAATATATAGTTATAACATAATAACTACATTTTATCTCTGATATTATAATATTCAATATATCCATAAAGGTAATATTACTTAATTACTTTGTTACCGTAATAATTGTAACCGTGTGGTCCGTTATTCACAATTTTCTAGTTATAGTCACCAAGTTCAGTAATATTTTTTAGGTAATACAATTTCACTTGTCATTAATAACCACATTTAAATAACCATCTAACCTACAGCGTATTAGTTTATTAAGCCGTATATACATATGGTTAGTATGAAATAATTAAAATGTTATCCTAAATATATACCCAACATTTCAAAAATATTGATTAAAAATTCCAGATATCTCCTGACATAATAAATATACCTATCATAAAACAATTTTTTTTTTTATTAGACTCATAGAGACAAAGGCACTCATGTATTATTATTTAATTTAATTAAATTTTTTGGTGAAAAAGTTAAAAAAGTTATTTCTTTATTTTTTTTTATTTTAGAAAAAATCGAAAATAGCCATTTTATAGAGTTCATTTTTGTAGAAATTTTGATTTTTCAACATTTTATTTTCTTTAATTTCATGATTTTTAATATTTTTTTAGTTTATATGTAAAACGGCGAAAAAACGATTATTGTCCGTGTGGTGACTGGTGAGTCCCCTTCAAATCGGTATATTCTCACGGTAAACTCTGTATATATTTATTTTTATTTATTTAAGGCTTCGACAACTGTGGTTGTTAGCCTGTTACTGTTGGCTGTGGGGGAGGGTACGGTTGGTTTTGGATACGTATGTAAGTGTGGCAATGATTTATAACTAAAAACCCAAGTGGTTAGGTCACCCATCCGCGAAATAGTGGCACAATAGTCAATAATATATTTAACTATATGTAATTTCTAAGAGGCCAAAGTGGAGTAGTGGTCACTCAGTTGACTACGACTCATACAGTCATCGGTTCGATTCATAACACAGTGCAAAATAAATTTGTGTGGTTCTACGCGATCACCATTTCCCCCTGCTGTCGTCCGATTTCCAACTAGATCCCACTCCACTGGGAGTGCAGACCGCACTTTCCTTCTCTTGTATCATGCATATAGTTGACAGTCGG